ATCCCTAAAGGCAGGTTTGCATGCACTTGCATCATCCTAAAGCTGCCCCGTTTATCTTTGTAAAAATTATTTCCATAATATAGTTTCATGTTAGATTTCTACTTTGGTTAATTCCGGGCTTAGCGCTTACAATTTTCTCAGACAAGGTATTTTAAATTTTGTTTTGTTTCAAGTGCATTTGATGCACATATCCTTACTGCAGAGAAATCCTCCAGGAACCTGATGGTATTGTTCTCTCTTACTATCTTTTCAGAATGGGTGAACCTTCTTGCCATTTATAGTTACATCTCAGGATCTGGTACTTGCTCTCAGCCTTTCGAAAATAAAAATCTTACCATCTATGGATCCTTTTTGCTTCTTGTATTTATGTTTGTTTTCTTTCTTTCCTGATGGCTTTTTCGGGTTAAAGATTTCCTGTGTTATGTTGCCACGTGCACCCCAACTACTGAGCTATACCAAATCAGCTTTATTGTGGTGAGGGGTAGTGTAAAATCCCACTATGTTTCATCTGCTTCATTAGGTAAGAGTTAAAAGATTTATTAGGAGTCACAATAACCCAGTATGAATCCTCAGTAGTTCAACTTATTTAACTTAAAAGAACACTGCTGTAACTAAGACCAAAATGGAGATTTCCTTTGCTTTTTGTGTTCTTAGCCTTTATTTCACCCTTTATTTGTTTCTCTAGTTCTCAATATTCCAATCCTTTCTAATTTCTGCAGAATGATTCATATCTTCTATTGATGTTTGATTGTGCTGTGTATCTGCCTACTGAGCATAACAATGCCTGCTTTTCTTTCAGCTTACTTATTACTGAGTTGATATTTTAATACAACCCTCATTTAAAAATCATCTATCCTTTCTCACTGAGGGCTCCTTAGACACTTACAAATTTTCTTTTGTTTCTTCTTTTGTCTTACCCCTACTCTGACAGTATCTGTTTTTATGAGACTGAATTGTTAATGGTACCCCTTTCATATACACATCAGTAGTATGGTAGCCTTCGGATTCACATTAGACATTTTTGGCACCTGAACACTGCAAATGATTGTTTGAGTGGAACAAAATAGTCAGTATGTGTTCCTGTAGGCAAGTTTAAGATGAAAGGAATAGCCATTTGCAGTTACAGATCTGGAAACATATAATCAGTTGGTGTTAAGACTAGCATTTCAGTCTTGCCTGTGTTATTTAAATTTGAGCTTTTTCCTCAATATTCACTGGGCAGTGCTGGAAGAAGCAATGTTCTGATCCCAAAGCAGGCACAGCTGATTTGGCTCCATAAATTTATTTGAACACAAAGCTAGTTATCATAGAATCATGAAATGGCTTGGGTTGGAAGGGATCTTAAAGATCATCTAATTCCAACCTGCTGCCATGGGCAGGGAGACCTTCCATTAGACCAGGGTGCTCAGCACCCCATCCATCCTGACCTTGAACACTTCCAGAGATGGGGCATCCAGAGCTTCTCTGAGGAACCTGTTACAGTGCCTCACCAACCTCTGAGTAAAGAATGTCTTCCTAACATCTATCTAAATCTTTCCTCTTTTATTTTAAAATCATTCCCCCTTGTCTTATCACTACCCATATAAAAAGTAGCTCTCCCTCTTTTTTATAAGTCTGCTCTAGGTACTGGAAGGCCGCAATGAGGTCTTTCCAGAGCCTTCTCTTCGCCAGGCTGAACAACCAAAACTCTCTCAGCCTGTCTTCATAGCAGAGGTGCTCCATCCCTTGGATCATTTTTGAGATGCTGCACTAGACCCTAACAGATCCATGTCTTTCCTGCACTGAGGATCCCAAAGCTATATGCAGTGCTCCAGGTGGGGTCTCATGAAGGAAGAGGGGCAGAATCACCTCCCTCCACCTGCTGACCACTCCTCTTTAGATGGAGCTCAGGGTGCTGTTGGCCTTCTAGGCTGCCAGTGCACATAGTTATGTGTGACCCAAGAGGCTTTCCACAAGGTGTATAATTCCAGCATCTTGCTCTAGGTGTGTCCCTGAACCCATAACTCACAGGGAGTTGCTGGATGGCACAGAAGCTCTCTGGCAGCTGGATCCAGCATGTGAAGATACAGCTGCTTTTCTATCCCTTTGTGTTAGATAGACTGAGGTGCAGAATTGATCCCTTGCTTGGAGAAACAGCTTAAACTACAGCTATGTATCCTTTCAGTCTGTAGAAAAGTGGGTTCACACCCCACTTCCAACATGTTCATGTACTTTATTTAGTTGCAACCAGTTGAATACTTTGCTAGAAAAGATGTTTTAAAATGCCTGTGCTCACTGTACATTTTGAGTTAGCTGCAATTTGAAAAAAGCAATAATTTAAGCCATCATTGGGAACAGCTTATGAGAGAACAACCAATTAGAGGCCCACCAATGTATTTGAAAAAAAAACAAAAAAAAAAAAACCAGGAAAAAAAAAAGAAAGCATACAGCAGACACAAAAATATCAGGAGAACAAAAAAAAGGTACCAAGTACAGCAATTAGTGACTGATCTTATAATAATTTCCATATAGAAAAACAATAAAAAGATGATGATGATGATGATGATGATGATGTAAACTTTAGAAGAAATAAAGGCAAGAAGACTGTGTAACTGTGTAAATTGATCATGTAAGTGAGGAGTTGTGCAGGGCTTTGTAATACAATAAGAGCAACTCAAGCAGGAAATCCCACTTTGTGCAACATTTAGTCTTTGGAAGGCCTGGCTGCTTGATGTTATCAAATCTTCGTTAGGAAACCACTTAGTGGGACAAGTGAGGTAGTAGCTGTTCACAAATGATTTTCTGTTTCTGTGTAGGATAAACCACTAGGACTGTCAATTCTTAGATACTTCACAGGGCATGCTGACAACTACCTGGGGGAAAGAATTTCCCTCTGCATTGCATTACTCAAAAATTAGATGCATTGGTGAGGTTTACAAGTTCCTCTGAAATACTTGCAGGAAACACAAAGGAAAGAGGAAGCAGGACATAGAGTGACTCTTAACCTAGCCTGGTCTAGCAATTCCACTATCTCTACATAACTATAATGTATATCATTTATATATAACTTATTTGTTATACTTAATTGATTAATTTCCCAAATTAGCATTTTATCACTTATTCATCCAGAAAGGTATATAGAAACAATCTGACTAAGCATCCAAGGGTAAGCATATTTCCCTAGCATTACTACTATGACTTTTCTAGTCTAGAAGTTGAAACTGTCTAAACTGACAGCACTAGAATCCCTGGTTCACCATCTGTATCCACTCAGTTATCTCCTGGCACCCATCAGCTATTCATGTCTGTATGTTCTATCACATGACTCCTGCCGGTTTATTCTCTTCTAAGCAGTTTACATTCAGGTCTGACCTTACTGGGCTTCTGGTAAGTTTTTACAAATCCTTTCTTTGGAGACTGTTTAAATGGAGTTGCCTTTAAGACAGTGACCTGTGGTCACCTGGATGCCATTAAACTCTGGGCAATAATAGACAAAAATGATAATTATAAAATCAAAGTCCTGCTTGAAAAATTATGTATACTTTGAGCTTCAAATGGATTTGTATCAGTTATATTTTCCATAATTATTTGTAATGCAATACCCAAGTATTGTAAAACTATATATAAGTATTTGTATCGCTAGACTTAAAATACAACACCCAGTTCTGGGTTAGAGCTGCTTCTAGTTAATACCTTCCTGCTACTAATCCTTGAGCAATATTCCGTTCACCTTAAGGTGCAACACAGCCTGGGTAATGGCTAGTTCTTGATACTGTTCAATCCATCCTGAGTAATCTTTATAGACACTTAGAATCTCCTCCCTCTTCAGTCCCAGTTTTTTGTCTACTGAGAAAAAAACAGGAGTCAAAATAATCTTAGACCCTACAGAGTTTATGTGGCCACTGAAAATCACATTTTCCTAACAACCACTGATGCCAGACACCTGGTTCAAGGATACTGATTCTTTCTTTTCAGCACCTGAATCTCAATGAGTATGTGCAGAAATTGCTTTTCTGGAGAAAAATCATCTTTTGCTATTTAAGAAACATTCACTTTGGGGCCAGGCTATGGGATTCCAAACAATTTGGCAGAAGTTACAGACAAACAGTCTGTGATCTGGGGTGAGCCAAATGACACAGAATGTTTCATTTCAAAATTCTCTGTCAGAGACATGGTCTGCTTAAGGAAACAGAAGGAGCTGGGCATAAAATTTTTTCATTCCTGCTGCTGAGTGCCTTCCAGGGAGACATCCCAACATACCATTGTGTCAAGGCTAATGCAGCTGTCAGGACCTTAATAAAGAGGACCATTTTTTCCTAATTTTTAGGCTATTCAGTAGTCTTTATGAAAAGAGAACAGTAACAGATGTTTATCAAAAGGACTGTAAATCAAGGTTCATGTTTATTCCTTTTTTATTATTTCATCTCCCATCCAAACAATGGTTTTCCTTTAATTCTTGAAATGGTACCAATATTTGCTGCGTGGAGCATCAAAAATATTCACTTCAGACAGTATTGAGAAACTTTCACCAGCAGAAGAGACACTAAGAAATGTGCATCTCTTCTGAAAGCTGGAATATAGTAATTAAGCATTAGGGACAGTTGAATTACAAATATGGCTTTGCTGCTTCGATTTAGATTATTTTTTCCTTGGTTGGATGTCTTACACAAGCATTGGCGCTGCCATATTTGAGCCCTTTTCCCTGCACTGGCCCTGCGGTTACAGCTCTGCTGACAACTAGGGAGAGACATACAGATTATAAAGTGTCTGAGCTGTACAGACCTGCACTGAGGCAGGTCTTCACCTGACAGTTGTCTCTACCTCAATAGCCTCTATTTCAGGACACGCATCCCACCCTACACCCTACTTGACCACACCACCCAAGTTTTCCTTCTAAGATCTGCTGCCACAGTAAGGAGTTCCTGCATTCCTTAACAGTAGTGAAAGATGCCCGACTCAGTAGGGATATATGAGTTCAGCACAACAACTTTGCGCTCACGGTTCACATCTCAAGGTCCTACCTTTGACACTTGAAGGGGTCTTTTCTGCTCTGAACCCCCTTGCAGGCGGAAGCCCCAGGGGGCACCTCCAGACAGAGTGATGAGCATTTCTTCTTCAGCTCCCATGATTTCTATGCTTTAGATATTTTGTCTTCCCAACTTCAAAACAGATTCCAGTTCTTAACAGGCAGTATCTTCTATTCCCATCTTCACAATTCACAACACCACTCTCCAGTCCCCCAAAAGGCCCTCTGCTCACTTTCTCCCTGAAGTTCACACACACACAAGACAGTTGAGACTGTCAAGCCCAGCCTTCACTGCTCTTCTGGACTCTCAGCTGCTGCTCTGCCTATGATTAGACATTTGATTCTGCTCTTGGTAAGGGGCCAGAGTTGTCCTACACACGTGTCATGTCAATCTCACCCTCTGTGCCCCCCCCCCCCCGCATACACGATGGATCTCTCACAGGAGGGTGGCTGAAAATAGCACACCTCCTGTCTCTCCAGAGCTTTGTTTGACACTTTTAAAGCTGGAAGTAAAACTTAAAAATTAAAAAGCATTTCAGTAATAATTTTATTTCTACTTCTCATTCCAAATGTAAACCCTAGAGTCATCCTGTACTCAGGATTCATTAGTGTGAGTTTCAGGCAAGGACATGTCACAGGCACAGACTTGTACAAGATCAGGTGATAGCACCTGACCCTATGAAATCGAACAAAAACAGCTTGCAAGTGATACGCTCTCCACTTGTTTGCTCCATGCAGCTGCTGTTACTAACTACACAGTAGCACTGTGTGCCTGCCCTGAAAGCCTCAGGCAGACTATTGATGTACTGTGCTCCCTCTGCAGCTTGTTGCTCCCTGACATCCCCTACATCCACTCATAATATTAGACACTGGGACAAGTATAGCTGGGATTAGCTACACAGACAGGATTCAAACAGTTCTCTGCAGGGCACTGCTTACATAGACTCCATGGCCAAGAGAACGGCTTTGCACCCAGATAGTAGAATAGTTTGGGTTGGAAGGAACCTTTAAAGATCATCTAGTCCAACCCCCCTCTAATGAGCAGGGGCATTTTTCAACTAGATCATGTTGCTCAGAGCCCCATCCAATAGCTTGAGTGTTTCCAGGGATGGGGCATCTGCCACTTCTCTGGGCAACCTGCCCCAGTGTTTCACCACACTTATTGCAAAAGATTTCTTCGTTATATCTACTTTAAATCTACCCTCCTTTAGTTTAAAACCATTACCCTTTTTCCTATCACTACAAGCCCTACTGAAAAGAAGTCTGTCTACATCTTTTTTTATGAGCCTGCTTAAAAGTATTGAAAGGCCACAATAAGGTCTCCTCAGAGCTTTCTTCAGGCTGAACAAGCCCAGTTCCCTCAGCCTTTCTTAACAGGAGAGGCCTTCACCCCTCTGATCATTTCATGGCCTTCCTCTGGACCTGCTCCAATGGGTTTATGTGTTTTCTGTGCTGAGAACCCCAGAGCTGGACTCAGGACTCCAGGAGGGGTTTTACTAGAGTTGAGAAGAGTCCTTCAGTGATTTTTCTTTTGGATCATGACAGACAAGACCTCCTGGCTATCCCAAGCCAGGGAGTTATAGAAGAATTAAAATCCATGTTCCCCTTTTGCTACAAGGCTTTAAGCATAATTTTCTGTTAGGATCCTGAGGACAAGTTTAGCTCTTCCTTATTCTGCAAGTGCTCACCTCTCAGTGACTAATATATATTTTACAGATATCTGTGATACCCTAACATGCAGAGGATGTAGTTTTGCTGTGACAACCATTACTTGGTTGACTATTCCATTGCCAGTACTACCACACTTCTCATCCAGTGCCATTGCATGGTGCTGGTGGGCACACACCAACACAATCATAGGACACTAAAATCATCAAGGTTGGAAAAGACCTTTAACATCATCAAGTCCAATCATCAACCTGACACTTCCACTGTAAACTCTAAACCACTAAGTCCCATCACCCAGTGCCAGATCCAGATGCCTTTTAAGCACCTCCAGGGATGATGACTCCACCACCTCCCTGGGCAATCTATTCCAAAGCCTGAGCACCTTAACAGTGAAAAAAAAAAATTCTAATATTTAATCTGAATTTCCCCTGTCTCAGCTGTAGGCCATTTCCTCTAACCCTTTCACTGCAAGCACGGTAGAAAAGACCAGTCCCCATCTCACTACAACCTCCTTTCGGGTAGTTGTAGAAAGTGATGAGGTCCCCCCTGAATAAACAAACTCCGCTCTTCCAGCTGTTCATCACAAGATATGTTTTCTAATCCTTTCACGAGCCTTGTTGCCCTTTGCTGGACACGCTCCAAGAGCTCAATGTCCTTTTCAAAGTGAGGGTCCAGAACTGAAAGCAGCACTCGAGGTGTGGCCTCCCCAGTGCCGAGTACAGCGCGATGATCACTGCCCTGATCCTGCTGTTACTCGGTAGTGAACAACCTTTGCATCTTGGCGCAGAACTGGCCCTGGTTGCTCCCATGTCGCGGTCCTTCACAGGCCGCTCGTGGGACACGTGGCCAAAAGCTCCACGGTCTCGGCCGCGCCCTTCCCGCAGTTCTGCGGCCCGTGCGGGCAGCGCCGGCCCGGCCTGTGCGGGACGGGCTCCGCGGCTCCTCCCGCCCCACCGGGACGTCACCGGCCGCGGCCTCCCG